AAAAAAAAAAAAAAAAGTACAAAAATTACTATAAAAAAGAATATCTTGAGGCTCCCCAATTATCTTTGCATTGCTAAAACACGATCCTGAAATATAAATAAAAACCCCAGCAGATACAATAACTGTACTAGCACATTTAATAGAATCTATTAAACTAAACCAAGCTGCCAAGCTACTTTGCCATCACTCCAAAAAATGCTCCCAAGGGCCGGCCCGGTGGCGCACTGCTACAGTGCGCCGCTTGGGAGCGCGGTGGCGCTCCCGCCAAGGGTTCGGATCCCACGTACAGACCGGCCGCTCACTGGCTGAGTGAGGTGCGGGCGCAACACCGAGGGTTGCGATCCCGTTGCCGGTCCCGGTCCAGTACGGGCGCGACACCGAGGGTTGCGATCCGTTGCCGGTCATGAAAAAAAGACAAAAAGGAAAAAAAATGCTCCCAAGGCTAGTAAGATCTGTGGGCATAGTTTCATTCTAGGACATGAGCCTCATGGTAACACACCTTAGAATGGAGTGAAGTTCATTTTATACCTGGCCTACAATGCTAGATATGACTCAATGCAAATATGATAAACCATCAGATTACACTAAACTACCTGCTGGATGGAAGACGTAGGAACAGGACCAAGCATAATGGGCCTGGGCCTATGAAAAATTAAAAAAACACTTTCTGACAGTGACATCTATGAAATCCTTGAATTGGTTCCTAAGAAAGTCACCGTACCCTGGGGGCAGTTTTTGAGACTATGGTTTCCACTTGATTCCTCCTTGTCCCTCAGGCAGGAAGACCAGTAGGACTCTAAACTAGAATGAAACAAGGCTCTTAGCCTTAAAGCATACCTCAGTGAATCCCTAACCTCTAGCACAGCCCCCCGCCTCAAAACGGAAACCACTACAATGTTAGGTGGTGACAACTGATGCTGAGAAATTTACCATACGAATGGTGAATATTGTTCTGCAGAGTTTCTCAAAAAAGGCTTAGCATTGGAAGTAGTGTGAAACCCTAGGCTATGGGAATCTCATAATGGCTAATTTTAACGTGGACGAGAAGAGTCACAGACCGCTCTGTGGGGCTCTGTGTGACTTGCCATCGTGGACCACTCCTGGTGTCTTATCGCCTGCATCCCTGTCACTGGACTCTTCACTGACGGTAGAGTCAGCATCAGAGGGAGAAACTCTGCAGATACAAAACAAATTGCAAACATTAGAAACAAGAACAAACGAAAAGAAAAAGGTCACATTAATTGGGATGTGGAAGTCAGGTAGAAATGAGACAGTCTAAAAAATTATTTCATGGCACAGCACCTTCAAGGGTCACACTAATACCACATAGCCACCTCCCGAAGATAGATTAACACGGCTTGCTAAATGTCTCAGCAGGCTGCATTTCAACAAATGCTAGAAAATTAAGTGCCAGACTGGAAGACGGACCTGCAGCTACTAGGGCTCAAAGCCTGGCTTCTGGGCCTGGGTCATTTCTGGACCAGCAGGCTGGGTGCAGCATGAGTTGGATCAAAGAGGACCCAGTGTTCAGGCCTGGTTCAGGCCTGGTTCAGGGTTAGCTGGGTCTACAGAATCCCTAGGAGTCCAGGGTAGCTCTGCAGTCGCCCTAAATAACTCCAGATCTTTGGAAGACGCCTTCACTTACAACAGTAAGGCAATGATCACTACTGAGATCTGATTCTATATGTAAAAAGCAAGGATATCACAGCATCCAGGGTGCACCAGGCTAGGGAGAATCCTTAATCAGTTAGCACCCTGTCTCCTTGGGATCCCTGGCTTCGATGGCAACGTGAAATGCCAAGACATTCTTGTGGCCCTGATGGATGCTAAGATATTACATTAACCATGCAAACAACTGCAATGTTGTGACTAGATGTTTATGATGAGGAGACTACCAGGAAAGAAGAAAAATACTTTGCAAAATTTTATTAGTGTATTAAATAATCTTTAATGATTCAATTTACTCTTAGCCTGAAAAATAATTAAGCAAATAGCATCGCTCTACACAATTCATTTTCCTTTGTAAAGATCATACTCTAACATCCATTACATTCTTAAAACTAGGCCAGAACCCCGGGGATAGGTTTTCTGATAAGACAGATACTATGACATCGTTTCAAATATTGGTATGATCACACACTTTTTCATTCTTAGCAGAAAATCAGGACTTAGCATTCCAAAGCTCAAAGGCAGGCTGGTACTCTGAGGCTCCAGTAGCCAAAACCTGATGATGCTATGACTGAAAGTCAACTTAACAAAACCTGATTCAGGAACTTTGTCTTCTTTAGCACAGCTGCAGACCTTCTCCCAGGATCAGAGGGCAACGAGGGACTTCCAGGTAGTTTGGAAAATTAATAAGCAATTCTCCATGTGCTTTACTTTGATAGGAGGAATGGAAATAAATTGGGAATGGGGAGCTGAGCAGAGAGGGGGCAGTGAAGAGCCCTGTGCAATCTGCTAACAAAGGTGACACACGGGTAACTGGAGAAAAACACACAGGAGGATGCGAGTAGGGTGGCCTGCAGACAAAGCAATGAAATCACAGCCAGCCGCTGGCATAGCAGGCCAGGACAAAGAAGCCAACAGCGGCTGCGTGTGTGGCGTGTGCCCTGCACATTTTATACGTGACTTCTGGTATTACCTCCGCAGGGTCCAGCACTCTCACCTCAGAATCTATACACTTGAGCTGGTTAGTACCTAATCAAGTCTGAGGGGGACTGCCAAACCATCCCAGGTAGTGATTCATAACGTCACACACTTTGGGGAAAGAAATCACACAGCCTCCTTTGGCAGCCCAATACAGTGGACCAAGAACACTCGGGTTTGTGTGCGACTCTGGGCAAGTCACCACCCTCCGGGGCTGCAGACACAGGGCAGTACTCACCCTTAGCCCTTCCACTATTGGACACTGACAACCTGAAAACAGAAAACATGCTCTGCTATAGAAAACAATACCAAAAGCCCAATAATAACCTTCCTCTGTGGCGGATGCTCTTAGAAGGCATCTTGGACTTGGGGCTTGGCACATCTCCATTTTCAGAGGGCGTGGCGTGGTCCTTTATGGGTCCTGGCAGTGGCGCTGGCTCGTGAATGATCAATATGTCGTCTTTATTGTGCTGCCCCAGATGCTGCTTAGCAAAATCAAAGCCCTTCACGCTAGGGATCTGCAGCTAAAACAAACAGACAGGCACACAACACACAAGGTCATTAACCCGACATCTGAGGACTATAAGAGCGATGAGGAGGGCTGACAAGAACAACCCAGCTCCTGACCCAGGACAGAGGAGTAGATGGCAGAATCTGATGGCAATTCCACCATCTAATCCAACGAGCATCTGCAAACATCAATGTGCGCAAGGTTCTGTTGCCCAGAGTCTGAGGAAAAGACAGATACTTGTGAAAGATGAAACGAGCACTAGGATTAAATAGCTAGACCATAACAAAAAGACAACCCCTGACCCGTTGTCACAGTAGCTGGAACCCATGGGATTCCAGAGACAGCAGCACGAGCAAGATATTCTTCATAGGGCAATGGGGACATGAGCAGGCCCTGAGGACAGAAGGACTTGGAAATAACAAAAAGAAGAGGCTACACAGACACGTTCTAGATCATGTCAGGGACGAGAGAGATCACATTAGCTGCACTACAAGGGTCAGAATGAAGGGAGTGGGAGAGAAGGTCAGCTGTATACAGACGACTCCAAATGGCAGCTCCAGAGCTTGCCCCCTGGGCAATCTCAGAGAAAAACCACTAGATTCAATCTCCAAACAGGCAGATTTCTAAAATCCAAGGAGTCAGGACCCAAAGGGACCAGTAAGAGAGACCAGCAATGCCATGTGCATGAAATTGCAAAGACCTGAGCCCAAAATCTTAGCAATGAAAATGGGAAGGAATGAACTACTCTAGGAATCAGGCAGAAGGATCTGGAAGCCAAATAGACATGAGAGGCAAGGAAGAGAAAGAAGCAGGTGATGACCTGAAAGTGTCAGGCAGGGCATTCTGACCAGTGGAAGTGACATTAAGAAAAAAAGGTGAGTTGTGAAGGAATGACGACTCAGGAGATAAAACAACAGGTTTCCCTCCAGACATGATTAGTTTGAGAAGACAGAAAAGGCCCCAAAGGAAAGTGGCACGGGGTAGCTGGAGATGGAAGACAACAGCTTGGGGGAACTTTCAGGCTGAGATGTGACTCTGAGAACCATTTGTATAGAAGGTGACGTGCAGGAGAGTTGAGATTTTTCGAGATGAATACAGATTCTACCGATAAAATGTTAAAGGACATCTGACAGTTTGGGGCTAAGAAGAGGAACGGGAAGCAAGGATGAAATAGAAGGTGACTTCAAAGAAACAGGAGAATCTGGAAAGCTCAGTGTAACAGAAACCAAAGAAATAGAAAGGAGTGGTCAACAAAGGCTGAAGGAGAAAGGGGTCTTCAGAAGAAGCCCGCCACTCACTCTGGTGGACACAGGCGTCCTCCCCAGGGATTCGCAGCACCAACCAACACCAAACCCACCACCGAGGCCCGTGAGCCTGCAACCACAGAGTCCAGGCCTCCGCTTCTAGGCTGTGACAGGGCAGGAAAAACACTCCGAGGTACATAAACACACGGCAATAAAGGGAGGGCACCAGTTTTATGACACCGTTTTGATGACACTAAAAGGACCAAGGGTGGATATTAAGTTTCCTTAATTCAAGCTTGCAGAGTCTAGAAAAATGAACTGCATGTACATAGTTGTCCCAAGAGGTGTCCTCAGCTAGAACGTCATCTGAAAACCAAGGCCCTAGGGCCGGCCCGGTGGCGCACTGGAGAGTGCCCTGCTTGGGAGCGCGGCGGCGCTCCCGCCGAGGGTTCGGATCCCATGTGGAGACCGATTCCGGCTCACTGGCTGAGCGCGGTGCGGGCACAACACCGAGGGTTGCGATCCCAACACCAAGGGTTGCGATCCCAACACCGAGGGTTGCGATCCCATTGCCGGTCCCCAGTGCGGGCGCGACACCGAGTGTTGCGATCCCGTTACTGGTCAGTAAAAAAAGACAAAAAGGAAAAAAAAAAAAAAAAACCACGAGGGTTGCGATCCCAACACCGAGGGTTGCGATCTCAACACCGAGGGTTGCAATCCCATTGCCGGTCCCCAGTGCGGGTGCGACACCGAGGGTTGCGATCCCGTTACTGGTCAGTAAAAAAAGACAAAAAGG